AGATTGAGTCTACTTGACTCAACATAAATAAAATTGGAGCTTTCCAACTCCTTAGCTCAAATTGAGCCTACTTGACCCAACATAAGCAAAATTGGAGCTGTCTAGCTCCTTACTTAGCTTAGATTGAGTCTACTTGACTCAACAGAAACAAATAGAACTTTCTAACTCTTCATTTAATTTGAGTTAAATCTACTTGGCTCAAACAAAAGTTTAGCTCTCTAGCTCCTTGCTTAGGAAGGCGTGTCATTTTAGCCTTTGGCTAAGCCCAAAAAGAAAATATTGGCCTTTACAAGAATCTCAACCTACCAAAATTCAAGGGGCAGAGGTAGAGAGGGACAACAAAGGAGCCAAAGACAAAGAGTTCTCATTTCATTTATAAACAAAATTTTTTTTAAAAAAAAAAGAAGAAATGGCCAGAGGTTAGTCAATGCCGACTCCTTTTTGCCGCTTCCCAATGAAGAAAACCCCTTTTCCCATCTCCACTTACAGGAAACAGGAGCTTCTACCACTAGCCCATCATCATGATCCTCAAAAGTTGCTACAGGCCCCTCATTATCATAAGAGATCTCCTCCTCCAAGGCAAGAGAGGGACCAAGCCCCAAAAAGATGAGACTCTCAAGAGTGGTTAAACTCCAAAGAGGCCTTGGACCTCCTTCAACAGCCCTATTTATTCTAGCGCGCCCAGTTGGACTCAATGGGGGCCTTTCCATTACAAAAAACAAATGACAAAAGATATGTTAAGGAAAAAAGGAAAGTGGTCCACAATGAATGAAGGCAATAGTTCAACTCATTCATGTTAGATGGAGGACACTAGAACTAGGGAACATGAGGGCCAGTTTCTACAACTCCTTCAAACTCCTAATCATCTCCCTAAAACAAGAAAAAACATGAATTCCAAGCCAGGAGGAGAGTGTAGGAGTTCAGTGACCAACTCAGGCATATCCTCCCTTCAGAGGAACTGGTAGAAGCCTCGATGTTCAAGAGCCAGGCAAAAGAGATTGATAAACTTGATCACCAAATGAGAGTGGCCAAACCCTGCCAAGTGCCAGACAACCATGACACAAACTAGAATGCTCCACCCTTCAATGGAGATACGGGCAGGGCATAATTCGAATGAATGACATCCCTTATGAAAGGAGAAATGGGGAATTGGAGGCCCATGGATTACAAAGGCATGCTCAAAAAAGCTTGTCCATGGATAAATGGCGTTGCAAGGGGAGTCAGGCCTGGGGACACAGACTCGGACCCCACCAAGGAAGCCATTGCATTCCCAAATAACCATCAGATTGACCATCATCATGACACCGAGAACCAGGAGGTCAACCTACTATGGTTCCATATTCAGACGATCTCATCTTCTAAAGGCTCTATTTTATTTGTTCTGAGCTCAAACAAGGAAGTTTAAATAATAGCAGCTTTTTTCCTTAAATAATTTTAAATGTAAAGTACTTGCATTAGGGGGGTTTGATGCCCCACGTTCAAGGCATCATGGAAATGAATAGACATCGGTCATCCCCCTTGACAACGTGATAGCTGAGACAGAGAATAATTGTCACTCACACGTCATTTCAAGTATCATTAAGGAGACAACTCAATTGAGTTACCCCCTTCACATGTACGGGCACTGTCGTTCTTTGCAAACCAAGCCCAAAAAGAAATTCCCAAAGAGTGGGCTTTGAATGTAGTGTGTTTAACCATAAAACCGTCTGGACTCAAGCCCAAAGAACATCTAAATAATAAAATAGATAAAGGAGAGAACAAAAACTGTGCAGAAACGAATTTCTTATTAAAAATCCCAATTCAAGTACACAAAGAAAACTGTAAGAAAAACAGGGGATTACACGAAGCAGCTTCCCTTAGTGGAACAACCAAGACAGTAATAACAGCCTCTCTGCAAGAATTGGCAATCACCTCCACCGGTTTTTTCAGCCGGAGGAGAAGGTCCCTAGCAACGATCAGTGTAGGCTCATCCCTCACTTCTGTTATGGGCATGCTATTTGCCTCTTCACCATTGCCTTTCCCCTTGTCACCGTCAGCTACTAATGTCGTGTCATCACTAGGTTTGAAGTGAGAAAAGACTAAGTCTAGGAACCTCCTCTGGGCTCACTTCTTAAAGTCCTCAAACCCAGATATATAGTATTCCAACATGTTCTCTTTAAACTCCTTCGAGTCATGGTACTTAGACACAACTGACTTTCCAGCGGACTTAATCTTGAGCTACTTCTGCTCTAATATGGCTGAAAGCTCCAAGACTTTCTGAGAAAGAGTTTTTTTCTGGTCCTCCAAGTCTTTGTTCTTCATGAAGAGCTCAGCCACGATGCTATTCAGCCTGGTCAGCAGCTCCTCCTTGTGCTTTAGGGCCTTGTCTCTTGCCTTCTCAGCAGCAGAAAGGTGGTTAGAAGCCTTCTCAGCTTCTCTCATTGCCTGTAGGATGTCCTCCCAAGCGGACATCAGCTCCACTCCCATGCCTATTGTTGAGAATGAAGAGATTGAAGCTCCTCCTCACATTCTTTATTCTCACCCAAAGCAAAATAGGATTAGGACAAAGAGACAAAGGCATACCAGACTTCTAAAAACTCCCAAAGATGGACCAGAGTGAATGAAGGAGGGCTTTTATATGCTGGGCCCACAATGGCTCTCTGGCATTTGCATGTACAAGGCAAATAATTCCACTACTTAGGTCTCTAATGGGCAAGTGTAATCAATGCATGATGTGAGTCTTCCAGTGGTTTGAACTAGGGGACAATTGATGAGCATGAATTGGTCATAGGCTAAGCACATGCAAACGAGCTTGGCACGAGAAGCCTGGTATCCAGCTTGGCACATGAGCTCTCCATAAAAAGAGGGCTCTGCCAACCACCATTCAGCCTACTCGCCCGAATCCCAGAGAAATAGTTCAAACTAGTTGCAACGCCCTTGGGGAATGTTCCATTTCCCTCGCCGCCTCATATAAAAAGCAGCTGAGGAATTCTAACGACACAATTTGCCCAGCCTATAAAAGGATCATGCTAGCCATGAATCTGGTAAGTAATCTCCTCCCAGCTAAATACAGTTCAGTCAAGTATATCATTTTTTAACTTTATAATCGGAGGGTCGACTATCGGAGCCTCTTCAATTTTTGACTTTCTTTGCAGTAACCCGTCGTCGATCGCCAAATCATCTCACTCCAGTGGTGCAACTTTTGGGATCAATAATTTGCATGAATAATATCCAAACAAGGGGCCACTTTGCAATGTTGATCAGATTTTTTGACTAATCAACCAGTAAAGTGGATCAACCTTAACGTTGTGCTAAAGATCACCCTCCTCTCGTAGTGGATAAGTTTTGGCGAAAGTAGAAAAATCTTCTGCAAACTCCAACTAAGTGACTTGCGGAGGCTTCGTTAGTTTAGTTGGCAGATCGTAAGTAGAAAATATCTGAATATCCTAGACAAAACAGTTTCTAGATTGGCTAGTGATCCGAACATGTTATAGTCCACAAGGTCATTCGGATCATCCGAGAAAACCCCATTTATTCGACCCAATAATGACTGCTGGAAAAGTGAACATAGGCCTTGGACTTTTCTTGTACACTTTTACAAGCATCAATTGAACGAAGTTCTATGTATGAAGTATGAAATTCTTTAACTGAAACTTGTGAATTGATTCTTGTGATAGGATTACAAGTTCTATTGTTTTAAGATTAAATCATACTTGTACTATCTTGTAACATTCTTGATGGTGTGTGCACACACATACATTGTAGGACACTAATTAGAAAGGTATATCGGAGATAATTTGCAAAAACAATCTCTAAATAGCAAGGGGATAATGTACAAGCCAGTTGTCTATCTAATCGACCTACTGTTCTTTCAAAATTGTTCTTAGTTCTCTAACATTGAAGATTTAATAAATTAGGAAGTAACACCATGAAAAATGAAAATTGTACATTTGGATAGGGTTGATAATCAAACGAGCTCAAGCTGAAAATGTCTAACTCGTTTTTTTCAAAAAAATCTAAAAAATTATTCAAGTTTGGCTCGTTTTCTAAATAAACTGAGCCTAAACAAATTTAAAACAAACTGAACCCGAACCGAACTCAAGTAACTCAATTCGATTATCAGCCCTACTTTTGCATAAATTGATTTTATAAAAAGTGACCGAGGGGACCAAAGCAAAAACAAAAAGCATAGTCATTCTATTCACCCCCACAATTTTATTTAGGTTTGTAGAAGTACTAGTTTATGAAATAATTTCATATACTTTGGACATATTATAGAATCTCTATTATGCATGTTATTTTGTTAATTCTTTCTTACTGCCTCTCTTCAAATTATTTTTTCGAAAGTTTTTTTTTATTTCATAATGAAAACATTTCTTCTGAGATAAAATAAACAAAAAATAAATTTTTAAAAAGTATCATGAGTTTTAGTATCAATATTCTACGATGTGCTTTCTAAAAAAAAATAAAATTAATTCCATATTCCGCCTCTTTAATGCAACATCACATTTCAAATTCCAAAAACTTCAAAGTAAGATTCTTGTTGGCAATAATAATAAATCAAAGCAATATCTGTCAACTTTCCATATTTCTGCTATCACTGTTTCTATGAAGTGAAGAAAATAATCAGAATAGGAAATAAATTACATAAAACATGACAAACCATAACTATGACCAAATCCTCAAAAGAATTCCTCAAGACAATTGAAAATTACTTGTAAAATCTTCTTCCACATTTATGATTCAATCGTAATCGTATCTGTCCAGTGAGTTTGAAAGGGTACAAGTTTGAACTCCCAGAGACTTTCCAGGAAGAATTTTACAGCTTACAGCTACAACATTCCTACAACACCATATAATGGGTTGTCTTGCTAATATGTAACTGACATGAAAGAATAGTAATAATAATAATAATAATTATGATAATACATATTAGCAACAGTGCCCTCCTATTTATCTGTACTCAGATGCTGTAAGAAAGAATTTAAACAACAGGCAAAGACATGGAATTTCAAATGATGCTACTGCTTGTTCTCATCCTTGTCATTGGCAGTCACCTCAGGTGCTGTGGTGGTAGGAGTTACCCGTGTGTCAAACTTTTCAGTCTTCCCCAGGACAATCTCAATCTAACAAACCAGTGACAAAAAGGAGAGTAAAGAAACTGGAGAAAGAGGTGGATTTTAAGTCAAACTTGTTTCTGATTACACTTGATTTACTAAATGAGTGCTTACCCTGGCTTTCTGCACCAGTCGGCCCTTGTTTTCATCTTTCATGCCAACCGTAGACGTCAAAATCTCTGTTCGAATCCCACAACCATTAGCTTGAATTATTATTTTACAGACGTGTTCACCCTATTGTATTTTCCTTCATGAAACCTCATGCAAATCATGTATGTATGATACTGATAAAAACCAAGAGAGCAAATTACTTACTCTTCTCAGTAGCTAATCCATTATTCTTTAGTATCTCAGCTATTGTAACGACTGTAGTGATTGCTGCAATGATATATGTGAAGCATGTCAGCAAGTGCTACAGTGATAACATAGGTGTTTACAATGCCATTGAAACGAAATTGACATATGTGTGCAAAGGAGAGAGGATTCTGCTAGAAAGGAAAATCAATTTAAAGCTTCATTTTGTACACTAAACATTGAATGCATAAACAAGGTGCAGAAACGATCCATACTTCCTAAAGTATTAAAATATTGTTCCTCTAGTGTGTTGGCCAATAGTCTCTCATGACAACAATAATCACAGCCTATGTTCACATATATATAGACACATACATTTATGTATATAGTACTATTATTATTGAATCCATTCAAATGCAGAGAAATGGATCAATTGGCAGGAACATTGGTATCATGAATGATAATCATATGTTAACCATACCATCTCTTAAACGTTCACACGGGTTGAGCTTCATGTTTAGATAATTTAGGGTATATCAAAAGCAAATGGCCGGGGGTATCATTTAGTAGGAATATCAGTAAAATGTACAAGAATCTTAAAGTAACCATCTTTTAACTCTTTAAGTTAAACATTCTCTTACAAGTTGACCTGACTGTTTGTATTACTCGGGAAATGTGATCTCACAATTTTCAATTCAAAAAAGATCCTACTGGGGCAAATTTGAAGGTCCAACTCCATCAGAAGGCTACCTAGTAGCTGAATCTACTACCCAGTAGCTCATGCCAGTAGCCACCCTATGGACAGCTTGCCGGTGGACTGGTTGGCGGTGGACAGGTGAAGCTTTGACAAAGCTTGCCCAAGTTTCAAATTGTGTTCCCTTCTCCTTGACTTATTTGGCCAGAAAACTCCCTATAAATAGGAAGCTTAGTGAAGGCAAATGGCATGGTTCAAGTTCAGTGAGAAAGAAACAGAGAGAGAGAGATTCGGGAGAGATCTCAGTGAGAATTTTTGTAATAATTCTTGTATTTTATTTCCAGAGAGAAATAGAGATATCCTCTTTGTTTATAACTTGTTTGTGGTATTTTTCTGGCCCTGGGTATCCAACAAGTGGTATCAGAGCTTTGGTTGGGTCACCGAATTTTTTTTCTAACTCACTGTTTTGGTTCGTACGGGTTCTAAACGAACTCAAAATCAAATTCTGATTGCACCGTTGGATTCCTCTCGTCGAAACGAGTTGAACCCCATTGGCCTCGCATCAATCCGACATTGTACGCGCTCTCACGATCCTCGCTGAAAAATTTACCGGCCACCGGAGTTGCTGTTGGAGCTCACCAGAGCTCGTTGGAGTTTCTGCCGGAAGTTCGCCGGGAAAGTTCACTGGACCGGTGACCGGAGGAAGGTTGAAGACGACGGAATATTCCATTCTGTTAAAGAATATTCTATCTCAGTTAAAGTATATTCCCAAAGCATATTTCATCCACAGAATATTCTTAGAGAATATTCCATCCCGGAAATATTCTATCACCGTCAGCATATTCCGTCAAGTTTAATGAAATATTCCGTTAAGTTACCAAAAACTTTCTGAGTCAATTTTGAGCTCATTTTAGCTCCGTTTTTTGTAAACCAAGACTCTTTCCCAGCTATTTCAACCATTCCGGACGCAACGGTGCACTCCGTTTTACAAAATTCAACCCCGAAATTTTTGATTGAGACATTTAGAGCCTAAAAACTCAATATGCCCACAGAGGAATCAACATCGGGTGCCATGATCAAACTCACTACCTATAATTATACACTTTGGAGACCTCGGATGGAAGATCTCCTAAGTTGTAAAGACTTGTACGATCCCTTGGAGGCAGAAGGTGTAAATCCAGATCCGACAAAAGAAACGGAGTGGAAAAAACTGAAAAGAAAAACCATCGGTCAAATCAGGCAATGGATTGACCACAGTGTATTCCACCATGTTGCACAAGAGATTGATGCACATGTCCTCTGGAAGAAGCTGGAAGACATGTACCAGGCCAAGACTGCTTGGAATAAAGCCCTTTTGATGAGGCGGTTTGTAAATCTAAAGTTAAAAAGTGGAACTTCAATTGCCGAGCACACTAGTGAGTTTCAGAGTCTGGTAAATCAATTATCATCGATAGAGTTGAATCTGGGAGATGAATTATAAGCTCTCTTACTTCTCAGTTCTCTACTAGACAGCTGGGAGACACTGGTAGTCTCTCTCAGCAATTCTGCTCCAGGAGGCAACCTTACCATGTCAATGGTTAAGGATGCCCTGTTCAATGAGGAGGCCAGGAGAAAGGATGTTGGCATTGACCAGTCAAATGCCCTCGTTACTGAGAGCAAAGGCAGACATCATGGAGGTAGCAGAGGCAGGGGAAGAGCAAGAAGTAAGAGTAGAGGAAAGTCACAAGATCTAGGGAGATCAAATAACGGAGGAAGACCTACATACAAGTGTTACCATTGTGGCTTGCATGGCCACATGAAGAAAAATTGTCGCAAGTTGCTACGAGAGTAAGGCCAAGACAGTAATCAACCGAAAAAACAGGACGGAGAGACACTAGTCACTCTCGTAGAGGACGTGGCTATCCTTTCTGTCAATGAGGAGACATGCCTTCATTTTTCCAACCATGACGCTGAGTGGGTGGTAGATACTGCAGCTTCATACCACGCCACTTCTCACAGCGATTTCTTCTCGACGTACAAAGTCGGAGACTTTGGTACGGTGAGGATGGGAAATACCAGTTCTTCCAAGATCATGGGAATTGATGATATTCAGATAAAAACAAATGTTGGGTGTACATTGGTATTGAAGGATGTCCGACACGTGCCTGACCTTCGGCTAAATCTACTTTCTGGGATAGCCCTCGACAGACAGGGCTACGATAACCACTTCAGCAATGGCACATGGAAGCTCACGAAAGATGCCTTGGTTGTCACCCAAGGACATATTTATGGCACGCTTTACAAGACCCATGTGAAGGTTTGCTTAGACAGCCTCAATGCAGTTGAAAATGAGGCTTCACCAAATCTATGGCACAAGAGACTTGGTCACACGGGGGAAAAAGGATTGTTTACCTTGGCAAATAAGAATCTCATCACAGTTGCCAAGGATGTTGCACTAAATCCTTGTGATCATTGCTTATTTGGTAAACAACATCGAATCTCGTTCAGTTCCTCTATGAAGAGGAGATCAGAGTTGTTAAGCCTGGTACACTCTGATGTTTGTGGTCCTCTAGAGGTGGAATCATTGGGCGGTAACATATATTTTCTGACCTTTATTGATGATGCTTCACAGAAGGTATGGATGTACTTCCTAAAGACGAAGGACCAAGTACACGAATGCCTCAAAAGATTCCATGCCATGGCAGAGCGAGAAACAGGAACGAAGCTAAAGTGTCTCCAAACAGACAATGGAGGTAAATATTCTTCCAGAGAGTTTGAAGCATACTGTGGAAATTATGGTATCAGACATAAGAAGACTGTTCTACGTACCCCACAGCACAATGGAGTAGCGAAGAGGATGAATCGAACCATTGTGGAAAGAGCTCGATGCATACTCAGTTTGGCAAAGCTACCAAAGCTATTCTGGGGTGAAGCTGTTCGTACCGCCTATTATTTGATAAACAGATCACCGTCAGTACCATTGAATTTTGATATTCCGGAGAAAGTGTGGTCTGGTGGGAATCCTACCTATTCTCACTTAAGAATTTTTGGGTACAAAGCATTTGCACATGTATCCAAGGAGCAAAGGCAGAAACTTGACGTCAAGACCACTCCGTGCATCTTTATAGGCTACGGAGATGAAGAATTTGGATACAGATTATGGGACTCAAAGGCCAAAAAGATCATCAAGAGCAAAGACGTGGTGTTCCATGAAAAGCAGGCATATGAGGATTTTGAAAATCCCACAAAGTGCAGCAGTTCTAGTTCCAGTGCACAGAAAATTATTTCAGACCCTGCACCATTACAGTTCACCATAGATAATGACAAAGTGTAGGATGAAACTACAAAGTAGAGCAAGATGATGATGAAGGTGTTAAGCAGGGGGAGCAACAACCCCCTCCACCAGATGTTGCAGGACCATCATAGTAGCCAGAGGATAATGTACCTCATACAGCTGACGAGCCTCAATCACGAAGATCCAAAAGAGGACGCATTCCGTCGAGTAAATATCCGGAGCCAGACTATATTCTGCTTACTGATAAGGGGGAGCAAGAGAACTTCCAGGAGGCACAAGCTCATACAGATAAAGACAAGTAGATGTAAGCCATGCAGGATGAGATGGATTCCTTGCAGACAAATCAAACCTATGAGCTTGTGAAACTTCCAAAAAGTAAGAAATCACTGAGGAATAAATGGGTGTTCAAACTGAAGAAAGATGGCAGTGGAAAATTGGTGAAGTATAAAGCTCGATTGGTCGTTAAAGGATTCCAACAGAAGAAAGGTATTGACTTTGATGAGATTTTCTCACCAGTTGTTAAGATGACTTCAATTCCAGTCATTCTCGGATTAGTAGCCAGTTTAAATTTAGAGCTTGAACAAATGGATGTGAAAACTGCATTTCTTCATGAAGAACTAAATGAAGAAATCTATATGGAACAACCGGAAGGTTTCGAAGTTCCAAGAAAGAAAAATCTGGTTTGCAAGTTGAAGAAGAGTCTATACGGCCTCAAACAAGCGCCCCCGCAGTGGTATAAGAAATTTGACTCATTCATGGTGGGTCAAGGCTATAAGAGGACTGCTACAGATCAGTGTGTTTACGTTCAGAGATTCTCAGATGACAATTTCGTTGCACTCCTACTTTATGTTGACGACATGTTGATCGTCGGAAATGATGTAATAAAGATTAGCTAGTTGAAGAAGGAACTGTCCAAGTCCTTTGACATGAAGGACTTAGGCCCAGCTCAGCAGATATTAGGCATCCAGATTGTTCGTGATAGGAAAACCAAGAAATTATGGCTATCACAGGAGAAATACGTTGAACGGGTGATCCAGAGGTTCAACATGGATATTGCCAAGCCAGTCAGTATCCCACTAGCTAATCATTTCAAGTTGAGCAAGAATTTTTGTCCCTCATCAAAGAAGGAGATAGAAGATATGACACTGATTCCTTACTCTTCAGCAGTTGGGAGTCTAATGTATGCAATGGTGTGTACAAGGCCAGATATTGCCCATGCAGTGGGTATGGTGAGTAGATTCCTTTCCAATCCAGGGAAAGAACATTGGGAGGCGGTCAAGTGGATTCTCAGATACCTTAAGGGTACATCGAAGATATATCTGTGTCACGGGGGAGTCGAACCAGTTTTGGAAGACTATATAGATTCAGATATGGCAGGAGATCTTGATGGTAGAAAATCTACATCAAGATTTCTGTACACTTTTGCAGGGGGAACTGTGTCATGGCAGTCAAGGTTGCAAAAGTGCAAAGCTTTATCAACGACAGAGGCAGAGTATATTGCAGCAGTGGAAGCTGGTAAGGAAATGTTGTGGTTAAAGCGGTTTCTC